GATACCACCGAAACCAACACTACTGGTGCTGTAATGCAATGCATAAAATGTGGAGATAAAGCACTCAGACCTAAAGGTGTACTCACTTTACAATACAGAATAGCCTAATGAAACCAAAAGTACACTTCTCTTCACCCATCTCTCTTTCTTTCTCTCTCTCTCTCTCTCTCTCTCTCGCAAGAGTTTATAGTTCGTGTCTCTCTTAAGCATTAAAGACCACAACATTGAACGTAAGTCTGAGGCACTCCTACTTATAGGGAATTTATCATTTCAAGCCTCTCTCTGACATCTCCTCACAAAACAGTATTTTTTTGTGCAAATGTTTTCACAGTCCTATCGGATCGGCTATAATAGGCACCGAATGGCATATTCCGTGTGTTTGCAGTAATGTATATCATATGCAAACGATTTTGACAAACACTTACGTAATACTGTATTTCAGTTTATTATTGTACCGTATTTTATAAAATGCATTATTCTTTCCGGTTGTGGGCCTCAAACCCATCGACAGAATTCGCACTCTTATTATGTTTGAGATGAGAGTTGAATAACTATTTGTGTGTTCATTAGAGCCCGAAATAAATGCCCGAATAATTGGAGTCAAGAGTGAGAGTCGAGTCGGCAATCAAATCATAATAATCATAATCATAATAATAGTGTGAATCGACAATTGCCAACCAAACTTGAAATACATGTATGACTTTTGAATGCCAGTCCTCTCTCTCTCTCTCTCTCTCTCTCTCTCTGCCATTTATATTATATTTTCTCTCATATTTTGGGCGAAAATATTGTTTGCATTCATAGGAAGAAGAGATTTGAAAATGTAATTCAAGTTTAATTCAACTCTCAATTAAACGTCAAAAATATACAAATATTTTCATACAATAAATAAATAAATAAATGCAAAGAAAACTGTTTTATAGAAGAGGCACAGAATATGTCAAAAATAAAAGATAAATAATTTTTGGCGGCAAAGAAGGGAATAATAGTTTTGTGTTGTGTTTGCTTTTGGGGCGAATGGTTGGGAGAGGGAGGGGAGGGCTTGAGTCGTGTTATTCATACGATTAATTGAAAATATAAATTATAGGGAATATTATACAAAAATTGTTTTCTAAACATTAATTCAATTGAAAGCCAGGACTAACCGCTTAATCGTTGGGCCGCTTATTGTTAATGCGATTCTGGTTTATAAGGGGCGGCTGTTAGGGGACCGTTGGCTCTATTGATCGTCAATAATGATCGTATGCCTTCCCATACCTTCAGGTATGGACAGGTAGTGTGGGTATAGATAGTAAAATCGATGTGAAGGCTCGTCCACTCGATTATTTACTACTGGTTGTAAACATAATATGATATGTAAGGCATTAGGTTTGCATATAATGACATGTTTTTGGCATTATATTTGTCACACAAACAGTGCACTCAAATGCAAAAGATTTATATGAATACTGAACTGAGATTCTGGGAAAGTATAGCCACATTGTAAATCTTGTTGCGAGACATTCAAAGCCTTAAACCGACTACACTTTTGAACAAAATTTTGTTTTTAAATAAATCCATAAAATATTTAACCAAAACATTCACATTAAATATAAATGCACTCAAAGTTCAACTAAAAGCACATTAATAGCGAAACTACTGAGTGTAGACTTAATTATGTTCACTAAATTATTATTATTCACAACAATAATGGGAAACCAGAGTCAGACTTGTTTTACTAAATTTTTCTTTTATGTATAATTTGTTATCTAATATTTTCTATTGTATTACTTCAGTGCATTCAATTTTGAATGGAGATACCGTACTGTACAGTGAGATAAATAAGTTTTGAATTATGTTTTAACAAAAGACAATTGTCATGAATGTCATCGAATTGATTTGAATTGAATATATTTAATTTTCCTTTTTATTCAATTAATTGAAACTCCGATAACATATTGTCTCTTGTGGTATATTTTTTTAATTTGATTTATATTAAGTTCAAGTTGAATCAGTAGTGGTCAAGAATGTTTACCAAGTTAAATATTACCGATATTAAAACAATTTCTCAGAATATAAAACCCATTAAATTTTTACGGTTTACCATCATTTTCATTACATTACATTATATGTAAAAATATAAAACCTTAACTTTTATCAGTTATCATGGGTTAAGAAACACGATACCATTCTTGGCCACCACTGGTTTGAAATATTTTATTATTTAATATACAGATATCAAATTTTATTGCATAGAAATAGTTTTTGTGTTATTAATTGAGAGAAAATTGGTTATGTGAAAACTTAGCATTAGTTTCATTAAGTGGTAATTTAATGAATTGGTATTTTAAGGTCAGCCCGCCTATAATTGAGGGTAACATATGTTGTCTAAGTCTAAGTGATGTCTGAGTGGTGTTTGCAAATCTCTATCCTATCCATCATAACAGATACGACTATCAATCACCACAACCTCAACATAGCATTCATCACAGTTCCGGTGCTTTCAAACAATTTTGTATTACATAAAAAATACCAAAAGTTTTCATGTTTCATACAAAATGTAGTATTTGTATATTCAGTGCACAATAAAATGCTAACATAACTAAATTTTTCAATTAATTTTCATGTAATTGATTGCTTTGATATAGCATTGAGTACTCAAACAAAGAGTATTTTGATTTAGACGAGAGTTGTATTCAAATAAATTGTTTTTCAATTCAATCGATATGCGGATTCACCACATGTTATCATATTGATTGAATTATAAAACAGTTTTATTTTAATAAAATTTGCCCATATTTATTTTTTAAATATTGATTTTAGTAAATTTATTTTATATATTTCAGTAAATTTAATTTTATTTATAAAAACATGTTTAATTATTTTAAATTGTAAGTATCACAAGAGAATTATTTCATTTTAAACTTACAATTTTGACATTGATCTAATGTTAAGTTTTAACTTATTTTAAAATACAAAACTTATGGAAACTAATTTGTATATATCAAATTACTATGAAATTAACAATTTTTTAAGTTAAAAACTAAATTAATATATTGAGATACATATTATAATATTTTCTTATGTTATTTTTATTACAATTTTAATGAATTTTATTTAATATATATTTAATAATTTTTTAAAAAGTTAATATTTATAAGTAAGAATAATCGAGATTTTTATAGAGGTTAATAAGCCTAAATAAGTTGGCATTGAAAGGATATTTGTGTCAAAATTAAGTCAAAGTTATTAATTTGGTTTATGAAAACTCTGTGCAATCATATTCTGTATTCAAAGAGATTAACTAGCTTATTTTAAGAAATGAATTACAATATATCTTATTTAAGTCCTGCCGTTTATGGGGAAATACTCCTTTTATCACTAACTATAGCCTAATATTATACACGATTTGACAAATAATATTTAATTGCACACAAGTATTCAAAACATTCAAAGCTATAAAAATCTGGTGACACTTCAATAATGATTATTACATGATTTTTGTTGATTTTGTCTTTAAATACTTGTCATGTACTGTATTTTGCAATTCTATAACATTATATTTTCCTTTACTTGTGTATTAGTTTTCATTCAAAATGTGTCATAAATTCTGTCTTTAATCTATACCAATGTTTATGTAGTAAAGAATTTATAGATATTTTAGTAATTGGGGCACAAAATATACATTAAGTTTTTGTATTTTAGTTGAGTTCATATTAACCATTAAATTGAATTCTTTAGGAAATGAATTGAATGGATCTTAACTTTTTGCTAATAAATTGCTTTATTTATAGATTTTTAATTTGTATTTATATTAAATAATTATTTTGTTGTATTTTAAGCGAATTAGCATATTTCAATATTAATAACTTACAATGTCTTAAGTTATAAAATTTTATATTAATATTTTTTAATGATTGATAGAACATATTATTTAATATTACTATTTATTATTTATTTAAGTTATTTATAGTAAATATCAAAAATTTTGTCATATATAACTTATAATTTTAGAATATTCTAAATAATAAATATTATAACTGGAATTATTTATCATTTAAAAATGTTATTAGTGAATATAAAGAAATTCAAATAAGCAGGTTCAGTTGAAATAGTAAATAACATTTCTCAAATTGCATATTTCATTGTGGTTAAAACCTTTTTTAAAATAATTTTTAATATCTATTTCAATATTTTATTTATATTTATATTACTGTACTATATATACAATTTAATAGGTGTAATTTATTGCATATTGTAGCAAATGTTTATATTGTAAAATAGCCTTATAAAATTTCATTAAATTAATAAAAATTACTAGACCTATTTTAAAACATAAGAGTTAAACATAAAATAAAAATGTTTGCGAAAATTCAGTTTAAAATGAGTTTAATATTGAATTTAGATGTAATTCAATGTCTCGTGTAATTTGAAACCCAATTTGAACAACAAAAAAACAAACATTTATTTGTATTACTTTTGAATTTCTAAAATATGTATTCACACGAAATAATAGCCTATTTTAATAATATCTATATGCAATAAACGTATCATTTATTTGGGGGAACCGTTCATCCGGTGCTGCAAACTGGGACCCAATCCCTGTCCATATGGCGCCCATTATGCCATCCATTATGTTATAGACTCCTCTCATTAATATTAATTCATAACTAGAATGAAGTCATAATTCACTGAAAATATGAATATTTAATAGATATTTGAGAATATTTTTACAACAAATATAAATATATGCCTGTACAAGGTATTTTATCACATTTCAAATTATTACTCAAAATATTACTCTACTCTAAAGAATTGATGAAAAAGTAAAAATTACTACAATTTTAGAAAATGACATTTTATTTAACTTATTGTTAATTATATTAAAAACATTTAAATTTAATAATAATTTACTAAAACATATGAAACTTGTGTCACATTTTAAAGCATTTCATAAAGAGTTCAGATTTTGGTTGATATGAGCCGTCAGTTTGCGTGAGAAGTGGTAGCAATCGGTTGAATCACACGCTTTGGACGCTGAAAGCGAAGGGCTGTCCGTCGATGGAGTCATCGATGGGCACGGATTCGATGGCATAGAGACTGGCGTGAAGTCCGACGACGAAGAGGGAGGCGCCCAACACCCAGAAGACGGCCGAACCGGCGCCTACTATGTAGAAGAGGGGCAAAGACACGACACCCACACAGAGGTACTGCTGTCCGAGGGTCAGGCGTTTGCCGAAGAACTTGAGGGGTCTCTCGGCGTTCTTCAGCGTCAGGATATACGCGGCGCCGATGGATGCGCTCAAAGCCAACAGAAGCAGAGGCGACGTTAGGATACAATATATGATTAAAATGACAAAAACACACAAATAGTTGCTTTGGAAGTACTGCAGGTTCTTCAGCAACCGTCGCGACCACTGACTGATGGCCATCGGGAACACCATTTTGTTGGTGTC